AAAAAAAAAAAAAAGGAAGTAGTCCTCTTTTATTTTTTTATTTTTTATTTTATCTGTTGATTAGGGTCGGAGGAAAGTCTTGTTGGGTTGGTTACCTACCTACATTTTCCCTCCCACCCACCCCTTGCATGCATTCCGGTTCGGTACAGTGCCACGTCAGCAGCGCCACGTCACAGTGCCAAATCAGCAGTGCCACGTCAGCAGTGCCACGTCACAGTGCCACGTCAGACACAGTGCCAAGTAAGCAGTGCCACATTAGCAGTGCCACATCAGACACAGTGCCACGTAAGCAGTGCCACATCAACAGTGCCACGCAAGCAGTGCCACATCAGCAGTGCCACGTTAGACACAGTGCCACGTCAGACAAAGTGCTACGTCAGCAGTGCCACGTCAGCAACATGACGGGCCTGCCAGGGCAACTGCCCAACGAGTCCCTTGCCGCCTACAAGCAGCGTTTCCACGCTCTGATTGAGGCTGAGGAACAACGCCTGCTGGCAGCAGAAGCAGAACAGCTGCGGCTACAGGCCGATGCAGATGCAGATGCCCAGGCTCGCCGCAAGGAAGCCCAAGATCTGCTGCAGCGGCATGAAGCCAACAGCATCGGCAGACTCAAGTACTGACATTTTGAACCGAACGACGACGAGGCAACACCGGAAGAGAAGCACAAGGAGTTCCTCTCCAAACTCGTGACGCGGTTGTTGTATGCTTGCAACTACCAACAGTCAGAGTTGGAGAGACAGTACCAGGACCTGACGCAACAGTATCAAGAGTTGGCACAGCTCCGCCGCATGGTGCAGAGCCAGGAGGATGCAACTTGGGCACTCTACGCCCGATTGCTGGACCTGGAACAGGCTGTACCAGGACCAGGTGCTGGGGCTTCCAGCAGTGCACCCTCTAGCCGCCAACTGGAAGATCGCGTTGACCACGTAGTGGCAATGCTCGGCGACATCAGCACGTTCGCTGCGCCGACCACCACCATCAGCAGTCAGCTGCATACATTGAAGACCGAGGTCCAGCAGCTACAGATGACGAACGCAAATGTCAATCCGAAGATGTAAAAGATGCCAACGTTCACTCTGGAGAGGTTTGACAACTACACACAGCAGGATCCGGTCCTCTGGTGGGAAGCATTCACAACGCAACTCAGGATTCTGCCCGTAGACAAGCATGCGTACATCGGCGCCCTGTTCCTGAGCTCAAAGGGCGGATGCCAGACCTGGTTGACCCACCTGGCAACCTCCCACGGCGTTGACGTACCAGACTTGAAGGACGTAATCACATGGGAGGAACTGACACGGCTGTGGAAGAAGCGCTTCATCGTCGACGATGCGCCAACCCTCGCCATCAACCGACTGTTCACCATGTCACAGGGCAACACAGCAACACGGGACTGGCTCACGGAGTGACAGAAGATTGCGGCTGTGCCCAATCTGAACTTACCAATCGAGCATCTACGCCGTGAGTTCTACAACAGGTCCTGTGCTGCATTGAGCCAGGGTCTTGGTGATCGCGAGCAGTACTCAACCTTCGCGGAGATCATTGACAAAGCRAGGGAGATCATCAAGACCAACAGGTCAGCTGCACACGAGAAATCAACATCATGGCAGCCGACCTATGTGGAGAAGGTACGAACTGATCCGCGACAGCAGCACTTCACTGCAGTCCAGCAGGACAGTGGAGATAACCCAGCAGCCACTCCAACATCAAGTGACGGAGATCAGGTGGCTGTTGTCCAGCCGCGAAGCACCAACAAGTCCCGCAACAATGGGAAGGCGAAATCCGCATCGCAGGCCGGAAATGGACAGCCAGGACAGTTTCCATGGGTCAAGTTTGGCTTGACCGAGGCGGAGTACAAGGTCCGCGGCTGCTACGGCAGCTGCTATTGGTGCAACAACACCAAGCACAAGACCTCCCTGTGCCAAGATCAGGGCAAGGAGGATGTGCGACCCCGCCTCAACTCGAAAAACTGAGCTCCGCGGAAGGTGAGGCGACTCCACCTTCTACTCCGCCAGATTCGGCCGCCTTGCTAGCGGCYTCCTGCACATCTGGGGAGGATGCRAATGTCGCAAGTCYTCGGTATACTTACGAGGATTATGCTGTCCACTTGGTTCCACCGCTGGACCAACCGCTCCACGTGTAACAGTCCACCGCATGCACGGTTTCATCACCATCGGCAACCGATTTGGCAGCTTCGCCGCAATCTATCGCCAGGGATTCGACGTCATGGTCAAGACTTGATGAGCTCGACCCGTTGACGCTCACGGACTTCCAGTAGATGCCCGTTCCCTCGACCGGATGATTGCCGAAACCGCATTGCAACGTGCTTATGGCACAATTGCGGGACTACTTGCACACTGCAGTACCAACTCCGTTGATGGACGCCGGAGTAGAGGTTGTCGACCTGCACGTTTACATCGCGAAGATCGACCGCGAGTTCAAGACGCAACGGTACGACGACATCGACGCACCATTGCTATATGTACGCATTCAGATCAGAGAGGCGACCTGCAGTGCCTTGATCGATTGCGGAGCATCTCGCAACTACATCAGCCAGGACTTCATGGTACGTGCCGGCCTTGGCCCATGTGTCCGGAGGAAGTCCCAGCCCACGCAAGTCACGTTGGCGGACGGTCACACACACAAGTCAATCGACCGGTGCATTGATGACGTCCCAGTGTACTTTGCCCCTCATGCAAGTGAGGCGGTGTCCTTTGACATTTTGGACACCAAATTCGACATGATCTTGGGCATGTCATGACTGCGAAGCGAGGGTCACCTGGTGAACTTCTACTGCCACACCGTTCACGTTCGTGATCGGAACGGAGTACTAGTCCCATGCACGGTAGCTCCTTCTCACCCTTCAATCAGCTGTCACGTGGTGTCCGCCGCAAGCATGCGAGCTTCCACCATCAGAGACGACATCGAGGAGATGGGGGTGTGTTTTCTCCACGACCTCCCGCCCCATGACGCTTCATCGGCGGACTCACCTTCGGATCCACGCATCACCGAACTTCTCGACGCCTACAGCAACGTGTTCGAAAGCCCGCACGGAGTAGTACCGGATCGACCCATCCGCCACGAGATCATCCTCGAGGACGGGGCCGTACCTCCGCGCGGTTGCATCTACCGAATGAGCGAAGAGTTAAGTTTGCTTCGGGCACAACTCGGCGACGTTCTAGAGAAAGGTTGGATTCGGCCTAGCTCATCGCCATACCGTGCTCCTGTTCTCTTCGTCCGGAAGAAGAACAAGGACCTGCGGTTGTGCATCGATTATCGCAAGCTCAACTCGTAGACGATAAGGAACGCCGGCCCTCTCCCACGCATCGACGACCTTCTCGAGCGATTGGGCGGCGCCCAGTTCTTCTCTAAGTTGGATCTCAAGTCAGGGTACCACCAACTCGAGATTCGCAAGGAGGATCGCTACAAGACCGCGTTCAAGACACGGTATGGGCATTTCGAATGGCTGGTCATGCCATTTGGCCTTACGAATGCCCCAACCACTTTTCAAGCGGTTATGACGACGGAGTTCCGACACATGCTGGATCGTTTCGTACTTATCTACCTCGACGACATTCTGGTTTACAGCCGGAGTCTGGACGAGCATGTGGAACACTTGCGCACCGTTTTGGAGCAGCTACGACATGCCAAGTACAAAGCAAACCGCGACAAGTGCGAGTTCGCATAGTAGGAGCTGGAGTACTTGGGACACTATGTGACGCCGCAAGGCAGCCGTCCACCGAGTACTTGGGACAAGATCGAGGCCCTACGAGTATGGCCCGAGCCCACCAACACCACGGACGTTCGTTCATTCATGGGGTTGGCGGACGACATTCCCATCTTCCCCCTCCTCTTCGTCTATCCCCTTCCTCTTCGTCTGTGTATGGTACGGGCTGGCGCTGTCTTCCTGTGTGAAGCGCCAGGCCCATTCACACCATGTGACGATGATGATGATGTATGTTCAGGGCTGGATTACAACATTGATTGTTCGGATCACTGGTATCTAAGTCTTCTGTTGTGCTATCTTATACTTTGTATTGAAAGGTCGGTTCTTGTTCTGGTGTGCACGTTACAGTATGCAACAATCTAGCTGCCTGCGGTTACAGCCTTGCACTCCCGACCAGTGCCATTTCGGTCAAATGGGTACGTTGCTAGGCTGCCTATTCATGGAGGCTTACTGTGTGTGTGACTGTAAGTCGTAAGATCTCACTGATGTCTGAGCCAGTCCAAATAGTGATAGGTTGATGAAGGCAAGTAACCAACAGGTGTTCGTTGAGTCATGAGAAAGTTAGCATCTCCCTCGATAAGGACGGGAATATTCTACGGTCTCGACGAAACATGTACGGTTTAGGCGACCGACGCTCACCTGGATCCAACCCATAAAAAAAAGAAAAAAACAGCAGTGATGTGACGAGTGTTCAATTCATAAGAGGAGTTAAGAAAGGAGGGAGACACGAAATGGCCAGGGGCAGTGGTTCCTTCCAGGGTATGTGTGTGGGTGGGTGCGTGCGTGTGGCTGCAAGTGTGTTTTGTGCGTCTCCCCCACTGCTCGCCCGTTTGATGGTGTGTCTGTGACTCTGTAGTTAACCCTGTTTTCTCTTCTCCTTGCTGAAATCATATCTGTGCCATTCCATTCTCACCCCACCCTTCCTCTAATTTATTAAGCCAACTAGTTGTCTTGGTCTCTGTTTTTGCCTCTTATCCTTGACGTCGCTCATGTCCTCTAATAGATAAGCGTAGTTGGTTTGGGCTCTTCCCCCCCTTTCTACCCTACACAAGCTGATGCATGCGATGGCTACACCGGCAGCACACACCTGCTGTTCCTCCTGCCCCACGTTTGTGGACCACCTACTTCTCGTTCCCCCAGTTTGTGTGCCATCTCCTCCTCCTCCTCCTCCTCCTCCTTCCCATTCTCTGCATCACCCTCTTCCTCGACAACCTCCTCTTTTGCGGCGTTATCCTACTGCCCCTGCTCCCCACTGCTTTCTCCTCCTGCTCGCCTTGTCCTTCTCCCACCCCTCCTGCTCCTCTGCCATGTATGCGACCAAGCAAAAGAAAGAAAACAGGCCTTACACGATGAAAACAAAGTCTTCCTCCTGATTCCAGACCATGGGCCTCCCTCTAGTCAAAATTCCACATGTATGTGGACTGACTTGTGGCGAAGCCACGGAAAAAAGAAACACATGGCAAAGTTCAGGCAGAACTTGGTGAAGACGTGGTAGCTCAGTGGGTTAGAGCTTTGGTGTTGCAACGGGAAGGTTGTGGGTTCAATTTTGCTCACTATCAGTTGGTGCTAGGTTGTCACCCCACCTACTTGTCCCCCACCCTTGTGACGCCCAACCTCACGCCCAGCGCGACTTCCTGATCGGAGTGGGGTATGGGCCTGGAAGTGCGAAAAGGGGTGTGCCAAGGATTTTTGGGAAAGTGGGGGAGTCTGGAGGGTATGAATGCAATTAGGCGAATAAGGGGTGCGTGCACAAGGGACTCAAGGTCCGATGGGGCTGGTGCACCGTGGGCGACGGTTGACGGGGAAATCCCTCCGCGGTGGAGGCGGTCCCGAAAAGTTAGGCCGTCGGGGGCCGCCACGTGGCGCAGGCCGCCGTGTACTTGGATTGGGCCTTCGGAATTCCGGAGTTCTCTGTTCGCTGCTACGTCGGCAATTCACACAAAACGTACTGGGCCAATAGGGGGCTATGGCCGGCCACGGAACGACGCTGAGTTGATGATACGGGAGAAGAAGGCGGAAAGGAGGGAAACTGGTGGCGATGACAACAAATCCCGGGTGGGTGAAGTAGTAGGTGTGGTCGGGGGAAGGGAAATCAGAGCACCGAGGGTCGCTAGAAGTGGCGCAGTGGAATTCCCGCGGACATAGCCGATTCTCCGTGTGACAGGGGTATCGCAGCCTTATGAGTTCGTTTATCCAAGGGGTGAAATAATCCGGGTCGTAGGATGAATCTGAGCTCCAAGATCGCGTCATGGTATCATTGTAGATGGGACAGCTCGGGTCGGGTTATCATCACCGCGCACGAGCACGTACAGGACAGGCGAACTTAGTTGCGCCTCAACGTGCCCGTACGGGATGACGGTTCCGCTGCGAATCTGTTTGGGCGAATCGACGCACGGGAATGCGTGTAAGGGCGAGACTCGGATCGCGTTTACACGTGTTCTCGCACGGAGTTCGCGGGGCCAGACTTCGGATCGTCTAATTGCTCCGTAAGTTTCGATTATGCAGGGTGCAACCATACATCCAATTAGACATGGATTCTCAACAAAAAGATAGACAAGCAGGCATAACATCCATACATCCATACATTCGACAATCATACACATAATGCAATCGAGCCGGACATCGCAAGGACAAGTGTGAGCAAAAACCCAAGCCCAGATTCCAGAAGGCCGAAACGAAAATAAGAATGGGCAAACCGCCCGGAGCCGTAATCAAAATGTATGTACACAGATGAAGAGGGGGAAGATACAAAGAAACAACAAATCCACGTCCATCGACCTCAACTCTCTTCTCCTCTCTCTCTCTCTCCGATGCGGACAGTCCGTTGTCGCACCAACCCACGAAGTTGTCACCCCGCTTAGTCCTCCCGCACCCGTCGGATTCGCCCGTGCCTACAGTCCGCCGTGGCCCACGTCAATCTCGTGCGTTTGGCACCAGCCCGTCGGGTCGCCCAACTCCTACTCTACTCACCTCTTACTTCGCTCGTGTGCCGACCCTTCCTGATCGCGCAACCCTGAGCTTCCGACAACGGGTTAAGAGACTGACTAATCGCGCAACCGAAATTTATAGCCTGCATGCATGCGCGAAGAACACGGAATTACCAGGACTTAGAGTGGGGATTCGAGAGGGAGCGCCTGCGTTTTGCATGATCGGCCGCGGCGTGGGGGACGTAACCCTTCTCCACGCATCGATTCGAGTATGCAAGCCGCGACTTACAAAAATTTCAGCAAAAGAAAGAGAGGGAGGGCGGGAGAGACGAAGTGGAAGAAGAAAGATACAGTTACAATGGCGCCAACCCAAGATTACAGTTACACACCCGATTAAAGGCGCCGACTAATCCGAATTCCGTTGCAGCCGCAAAAAGAAGTGTGTAAGCAAATAAGGGCGTCGCGCGGCAAGAGAAAGTCCTAATTACAAAATTCCTGAATTCCTAACTAATGCGAAAAGCAAAAGTACAGGTTTCGAGAGGAAAATCCGAAATCTGAGAGCCATCAGGGCTCGACAAAATTTAAAAAGATTTGAAGGAAAAATTCAAAAAGAACCGTGCAAATTCCCGCGCGATGTCCGCGCCCAAAAGATCGAAATCGAAACGAAAGAAACGACGTCAATATTTATTAATTGCGCGCGCGGTGGCGCGCCAGACATCCATCCGACCAATCAATCAATCGGTCGTCCCAGGACACACCCTGCTTCGAACCCAGACATCCAACAAGAAGCGACGAAAAGGACAAAAAGCAATGGTACTGATGCAATTTTCCACCGATCCCGATCTCCCGTAATTGGCCCAACCTTCCCAACTCAGGGCCCCTCGTTGCAACCGCGTAGAAAATCGCGCGTTACAGAAAGTGGTTCGTCACACCCTAGTGAAGTGTATACACAGACCAGGTGATACTGTGGCTCAATGGGTCTAAGCTGGATGCTGTATCTAAGCGTGTATGTAAGAGGTTCAGGGTTCTAGTTCTGATCCGGCCCATATAACACATGGTATGGAGATAACTGGGAAGCAGGCAGGGGGATGTAGTGGAGGGATGATCACGTAGTTTACTTTAGGGCTTCGCTTTTGGGGGGGCGTGGCCGGAGGTAAGGTATAGGGGGTCTCTGTACCTGGGTGTTGACAATATACAAAAACAAGCTTGGGGGGTGTAGTTGATAACCAAGCAAAGGGGTAAGAAGGGGGCCATGAACCTACTGATGATAGAGTCCAGGGTACCTCCAGATTCAGAAAAACAACAGCACAACTACGAAGCAGCTGGACAAGGGTCTAGTGTGGACGTTTGAGGTAGAGGGGTGGATGGTGGCCGTACATCTACGGTTAATAGGGTAGAGCCTCTAGGTTGGAAAAACAACAAGAATAACAGATATTAGCTGTGCTAGGTGGGTTTACCTTGGTTGCTCAGAGGGTGTCATAGGTTAGACCTTGGCTAATGGGGGGCATTAGTCACTGCCTGTGATATCTAGGGTGTGCACGATTAGATTGACGCACAGAGGGCACAATTACAGGTCTACTCATGGGACCTGCAGAAAGAACACTTACGCCCAGCGCCTGGAGTACCCATATTGCAGGGTTCGTTTACTATACTTCAACCAGGATTGAGTGGGGTCCTGCCCAAACCTGGTGCCTACAACAGCTGTCCGGTCAGGTCACCCCACCATGATGGTAGACGGGTGATGGTCCTGAGTGGTAGACACTGAGGTAAGACTGGGGGAGCAGGGGTGCGCCAGGGAGGATTGACAAGATGGAGGGTTGGAGGGGTCTCATCACAGAACTTGGCGTTAAGCACAGACAGGCAGTGCTATGCGGGCTGGGCGGTATCATGTGGTGTGGGCGATACTGTGTGGGCTGAGTGGTATCATGTAGGACTGCGCAGTACCATGTGACGTGGGTCATACCAGCCATAGGAAGAAAATGGATGACAAACACCCTGAAAAAGAAAACACACTCGGGCACAACTCCACTCGTGGCATGACTATGGTACTATGTGTGCAGGGGAGTATTATATTGCCAGCACA